TTGAAATGCAATGATCATATTAACAAGATTAGAAACAAAGCAAATAGAGTTATCAATAGTCTAATTTCCATTGTTGGAACACACTCAAGTATGGATCTTTAGAAAAAAACATCTTGTTTACACCTCCATTATCAGACCATTTTTAGATTATGCTTCACCTGCATGGACCTTTGCTACAAAAAACTGATCTCCTGAAATTAATTGTTCAATAAACACTGTCAATACTTAAACTCATTTAATCTCTTTAACTATAAAATACTTGGAAGAGGATTATGATCTAAGGCCACTTGTCACACACCACAAAAAGACTGTTCTTCTTATCACCTAGTCATTTTTCATATTTTCCTTCTATATTGTTTTTGCATTTGTTTTGTCTCTTATTGTACTTGTTTCCTATCACCTAGTCATTTTTCATATTTTCCTTCCATATTGTTTTTGCATTTTTTTTTAACATTTATTGTACTTGTTTTCCATAGTATTCTTTTACACTATGAGGATATTTTCTTGCTTTAAACCATTGCCAGTAATAATTTGCTACACTTGCTTTTCATACACACTCCTGCCCTTGCTTATTTGTGATGTCGGTCATTTTATGATCCTCTTGGCACCCCTTTGCACCCACTCACTGCTACTCCCTCCCAGGTCCTACTTATCATGACTTCATTTATGTTATGTTTCTTATGGCAATATGTGTCATCGATCCAGACACATCGTGCTCTGGTGATATTCATGGAGCATTAAGATTCGATCCTTTCCAAACATTGCGCAATTAGCGACATAATGAGAAAAGCAGCTGGTTTATCAGACTTCGATAAAGGTCAAATGATTATGGCTCAACGACTGGGAACATCAATATCAGAAATGATTTAATGGGCTGTTCACATGCAGTTGTTGTGAGCACATATTGAAAGGGGTGTATGGATGGTGAAACGACTAGTCAACGGTGCCAGCAGTGTGTCGTCAATGGCGCATTGATTCCAGAGAATAGCAGAAATTACTATGCATTGTACGCCATGACCGAAGAGCTACAACAGTTGATTCAAAACTACTCTTCACATTGAGAATACTCTCAATAAAGCGAAGAGCGTCAGGTCCCAACTTTACCCCCTATTAACTCGAAAGAGCCATCTGTCTATTAGAAACAAAGCTGTTCTCTATACTTCAGTTATTCGATCAAATTTTATGTGCGCATGTATCGTTTGGGGTACTGCTGCAAAGACTTGCATAAAAAAATTACAAGCCTTTCAAAGTAAAATCTTACGGTTAGTCCTTAGTGCAGCCTGTTACGTCCGTACAGATATGATTCACTCGGACCTTAACATTAAACCAATTGATTATTAAAACACTTGGTCAAAATTTGTTCCTCAAAATTGAACAGATTGATAACCGTGCACTTCAACAGCTTCCTGTCCACGATCCTGATATTCCAAGTTCACAAAAATGACCAAGAGCCATGGGCCGAGACTACGGCATCTATCCTCCTGCTGAAAGCCGTAAACACAATCCCGCCTCTTCTGTTTTCCTCTTCCCGTGCCGTGAATGCATATGTCTCTGTCTTCAAAAATTGCTATTCCTCACTAAAAGTGGCTTTCTTCGCACTGTTATCAATCTGTTCCTTTAAAAATCACATCATGCCCTCAGAATTAATTTCTGCCTTGGATATTTCCTAACATTTTCACAAACTTTACTACATTCTGATTTAGCGCCATATGCCAATGAGCCTCTTAATTTCTAAAATCTTTCCTCTGCTTTTTCCTTTTGTCTTTTATCCATGTCATAAGAAAAATATAAAATTTTTAATGCAAAAAAAAATTTTTATGCCTAAACTTTCTCAAGCTAATGTGGCTCCCTCTAGCTTGCGTCTAACTAACTATTTATGTAATTTATGTAATTTTCCTATTATGTAATTTATGTAATTTTCCTATTAGAACCAAAGGCACTCTGAAATACTTAATCATTGGCATTAGCTACAACAGTAGCGACCCAGACAGTGTTTCTCAACACATTGTGCAGTGTACATTGCTGCATATGGGCCTACTCAGCCGGAGACCGAAGGATGTCTCTGCGCTGACAGCATGTCATCAGCAGCTGTGTCTGCAGTGGGCCAAGAAACATCGGAATTGGATGTTAGAAGAATGGAAGAAAGCTGCATGGTCCAAGGAATCACAGTTTCTGGTCCATCACATCAATGGGCATGTACTAATACAACAATTTCTAAACAAAACCATGGCTCCTGGATGCACAGTTGGACAGAGACAAGCTGGTGGCAAGGGTATTATGGTGTGGGCAATGTTTCCATGATCTGCATTAGGACCCATTAATTCCCCATAGAATAATCCCTGACATCTGTGCACTACGTGAACATCATTGAAGACCAGGTCACTCATACATAGACAATAGTATTTCCAGTGGGGGATGGTGTTTACAAGCAGGATAATGCACTATGTCATAAGGGTCAACCCTGTTACTTTTAAGTCATGTCTTGTATTCCAAATTCACCTGACATTAATCCAATTGAGTATTTGTGGTCTCGCCGGCAAAACCAAATTCGTGCTGTCATGCTACCCCATGGCAGTGTGTGGGAATTGAAAGACAAGTTGGTTAACACTTGGTACCAGATACCTCAGGCTACTTATCAGCATCTTCTGGGGTCAATGCCACTGTAGATACTGGCAGTTTTGAGTGCTTACATGTTATTAATGGGATGGTCATAATTTAATGGTGCTTTGGTGTACATAGGTCTGATAGTAGAGTCACCTTAATTATAACTAGCCTGTATATATCTTTCTTAATACATTAAGGTTCATCATTGCATTGCAAATAGACTGCAATACAATTATGTATTCTGTACAAATTTGATTTAGAAAGTACCTAATAAAGCAGCCTATTTTAGATACTCGAAATATTTCCATATGTTTACTGAACTTATTATATGCAACTTCTTGTGCACACATTTAAAAAATGTTATAGTTTTGAAGATATGTAAAGAAAATATTTTATACAGGGGAATTTACTTAAGCATGTACAAATTTCAAGGAGGGCTAGATCAAAGACAGTTCGCAATGTAAAAATGGAAATTCAATCTTCCTGTGCTAGTGTGCAGAGAAGAAAACACAGAAAAATTTTTTTCAAATATTGGTTTGTGCTTGAAAATGAAAAATTGCTTGTAAATAAAGAACTTTATTTTAATGTTTTTTTATTGATGGCAAATAATGATAACTGATAGCTAATGATAATTTGTTTCTTTCAAAATTTGGATATTTTACGCAAGATTAATGAAGAATTAGTTTGTTAATGAAATTCTTTTTCTTATTATGGTTAAATAGAAGTTTTTCTGAAGTATGATATTTGTATTTTATTTAAGTGTCACAAGAGACATGAAATGCCAAAATATGAATACAATTGGTAGAAAACAGTGGGTTAGTCAGATCTTTTGCTGCTTTTCTCAGTGCACATGAAAAAAATTTACCAAATGCCAAAATAGCTCATGGAAAGATAAATAAAAATTGTATTTATTTTTCAAATAAACTTTTAATTTCAACATTCTAAAGTGTTATTTTACTTATTTTTCTGTTACCAAAATCATTGATGACTTTCTAAAAGTTTTTCATTATTCCAGTTGCTATTGGGTAAACAGTATAGTAAGATTTCCTAAATCTGAGATATCCATTTTCATGTCTTAAAGCATTTCTTCAGCTTTGGATTTAGAAATTTGGTAAATGTAAGATTAAAATTAATATAAGATCATTTTAGGTTAAATAAAATTAGTGTAAGATAATGTCAGATATCAATTTTTATGTCTTAAGCTTTGTATTACAAGAAATAATACTTAGAGCAATTGTGAGGAAAATTACTAGGATTACAGAGTCGTAGCTAGGGTTTTTAGTGCCCAGGGACAACTGAAGATTTCGCGCCCCCTACTGCTTGCCAAGGATGGAAAACATTTAAGTCTAAAATGTCGTAACATCAGTTTGGCGCCCCTTGGATTCTGCGCCCGAGAACAGATGCCCCCCTTGCCCCCCTCTAGCTACGCCCCTGCAGGATTATTATAATATTTGGAACTGAATTCTGGAGACTGTATTTAGAATAAACTGTTAAAATTCAGAAGACCGCCTTATCAAATGAAAACAAAAATAAAACACTGAATTTTTTTTTTTTTTTTTTTTTTTTTTTTTTTTTTAAGGAATTCTTCCTTATATATGTTACTGTGATCATAATTGTCATTCCAGTGTTTTCAAGAGCTTTGATGGGAGAGTTTTGATGAAGGCATAATAAAAATGTGAGTGTGCTGCAATCCTTCTGGCTGATAATAATTGGTCTCATGGTTTAATGCAGCATCCAGTAACAATGTATCCCGTCATGTGCAGTGATCACGACTTCCAGTGCAAATGCTGCGGACACATATTTGATGTGCTAGGAACACTTCTTGTGTGTAGACGGACTAGTGAAGACATCCAGAGATGCTTGTTCAGAGATATTTCTCTTCATGAAATTGGGCTCTTACAGGCACACTGAACTCTTACTACGTTGTTGGTAGCAGGCAGTGGTTGAAATATGTAAAGTTAAGGTTGTATCACATACTTAAAATCTTTTGGAAGAATAATTCTTTAATACAATTTTTCTGGTCTGTTGCACGATATAAAACAACCAATCACCATAGATCATTTTGAAGACACTACGTAAAGGGAAAACTAGTTCTTACACAAAAATGTAAACAATGATGGGAGATTCAATGTTGATAGCTGATTGGTTGTTGAAAATAAAACACGTATAACTTTTTTTGAAAGGAAGGAAAAAGTTGATCATCTTTCTTTCAATGGTAAAGCAAGTAGAAAAATTGTTTGAAATTATTGTTTTGCTGAAACAAATTAATGTGTGATAGCAGCAAAATTTTTGTTAGCATTTCATTATTTACTTGACAGATAGCACTTAAACCTTGTGAATACAGTAAATTAAAAGTTTTAAGGTTCTTTTTAACAATTCCGCTTAATTTTCTATAGGTCGTGGAAGAGGAAGAGGCAAAAACCCAAGAGCTGAACAGCAAGCTGTCAACTTTCCTCAAGAGCCTTTAAAACCCGAAAGAGAAATTCAAGGAAAGCCTGTTTCTACTCAACAATTTGCAGCTGCTTCAAGCAGTACTTCTCTTGCAAATGGTATAAATTATTATGAAATTTTTGAGTCTGTCTAGATCAGTGGTTCTCAATCCTTGCACCCCTTTCATCATTGCAACACTTTCCCGTCTTCCTCTTCAAAACTAAAAAATACACATACATTTATTTAAATTTAAGATTGTTTTTGATGCATTTAAAAATTAGATAAGAAAAAGCATAGAAAATGTAGATAAATACTAAAACTTGAATATAATATTCATAAACTAAATACTTAACAGGTAAATAAAAAGGTGAATGCATTTCCCCCTTAAACTATGAAAATTTCTCAACAGAGAATTCTTTCCCCCTTCCCCACACATATCGGTGGAGAACCGCAGGTCTAGATGACAACAATATTTGCATTATATTTTTTGATTGTAGCTATACAATCAAATATAGCAAAATATGGTAATGTTGGTCGTGGTATGCTGGAGATGGCTTTCATTTAGATGCAGTAAGGATCATTTGATACATAATTTATTTTAGGTTTTGTTCATAGAATAAAATACAATAAAGCAATACACACTTAAATTTCGCATATTATAACAACATTTTCAAAAAGCCAGACAGTTTGTGTCCTATTGGCAGTACAGAGAAGTGGAAAAATTATGACATTAATACTAGTTTAGTGTCAAGATCATGATATTGTTACTAATTTTGTATATATGTAAATAATATTAGGAAAATTGTATGTGAAATTGCAATAACTTTCATATAATGTAGCATGAAATGCTTGAAAAGTGAAGCTATGCTAGAAAAATAAGGTTATAAGGGCAACCCTACCTAACACTGAGGTAAATGACTCTAGTTTGGCAAGATATCACCTAAGTGGCAGTGGTTTTGGCGACTACCGTAATTTCCGGAAGAAACGCTGCGGCGTTTACGTGTTTAAAACATAAATTTTCAGTGGGTGCGGCGTTTCTACCCATGCGGCATTTAGGTGCACTAAAAATAAATTTTTTCCTATGATGGTCATTGTACATAGTTTGGATGGCCTTGTCATTGTGCATAGATTGGTGCTGTTCCCACGCAAAGACCACTCAGTTGTTTTTGCGAACGTTATTTTGTTTTACGTTCTTTTCTTGAAGGACCTAATGCCTTATTCACCCTAAACGAGATTCAGAACAAGAACATTCTTCCCCTTTCAAATCAAATTCTCATCAGTTTGATAGTCTCTCTCTCTGCCATTCGATGAATCTTCCAGGACCCATTCTTTTCACCCCTGCCTTTCTGCAATTTTTCAAAGGCGGACAGACTTACCTGCTCGCAATAACGAACCGACGTATTTCCTTCAGCATGAATGGATTTTCTTGGCATTCTGCCCAAATACACATCCCATCAGTTAGGGTGCAAGTCTTGTTGAATAGTTTTTAATTAGGGAGCGAAAAATTTTTGAAAATGTCTCTAAACGGCACGAAGATATACATTTCTTACTTTAATTATTTTGAGTTATGGTTTCTTCAGCATTTTTCTAACTGGTATGTCATATCAGGACTAGGTTGAGTTTTGCATCTATATGGCACGACGATGTCACGCGCAATTAATGTATTGCGGCGTTTCTGTGTAATTTTAATTTTTTTCCCGCCATTTTTCTCGAGTGCAGCGTTTACGCTGATGCGGCCTTTCTTCCGGAAATTACGGTAATAGACTTAGCAACATTTTGGTCCGGTCCCTGTATAACTGTAACTGCTAGTGTAATTGATCCCTATATGTAACTGTAACTGTATCCTGTACTTCAATCATATATGCCATCTAGTAATTTCAAGAAATTGAAGGTATTAGAGATTTCTCAGCAGTCTGAGAAAACTATATCAGCCCAGAGAGAGCATCAGTTCTCAGTTGTTTAGTTCAGAGTATTGAGAAAGCTCCACGTGAACTTCGTCTTTTAAATGTGCTTTGCACTGTGTTTAACATTCTTAGTAGATTGAAGTATAACTAGTTAATAATTCTTTGTAGATTGAAGTATATTGATTGTACCCTGTAATGCTTAGAAGAGCTGTGCGAGTATTTTTATGGAAAGTTCCAAAATTGGTAAAGTATTTCATTTGGTAAAATAAATTTTACCAAGCTACCATTGGTTCTGTGTGCATTCAGTCCATTACACATCTGTACTCACACAACAGTATTAATATTAGATTAAGAATAGCAAACTTATGCTTCCACTTTATCCCTAATGTTTGGTTATAAATTTGAATTTGTAAATTTTTCCTTACTGTTAGATAAGAGACTTCAGTTTTACTTTTGCCATGATGTAAGAACAGGAATCGTTAACATTATTAATCACATGGCAGATTAATTTTGAAAGCATGCACATTATAAAAATTCATGCACTTCATAAGCATATTTCTGTTTTTAGGATTGAGAGAGGAAATAACCAAATTCAAAAAGAAATTCAAGAAGCTGTTACAAATTAAAGTTAGAATTTTATATTACATGCTCATAATAAGCTATATTTTCCATAAAGCATATATTGAGATGTCATTAAAATAAATTTAATATATTTACATGGAAATAAATGAAGTTGATGAAAATCAGTTTTAGATGGGATGACTGAGATAGTTGTTTAGATAGGATGACTGTAGATAGCTTTTAGATTGTTATGTGCAGAGTAATTGTTGATGCACTAAGTAACAGTAAAAGGTGTTTCTAATCTTATAATTAATAGAAAGGTATCATTCTTGAAAGCTTCAAGGCAAAGATGTATGACTAATTTTGAGGAAAAGTGTATTGAAGTAAAGCATGAGGAAATAAGTGTGAAGAAATTAAAAACAAAGAAACACATATGGAAATAAAATAGTAAAAGTACTATTAAAGAGAGATTCAGAAAATTGAAATGAGAATTATTGAAAAATGTGTAATAAATCTAAAGAAACAAGAATGCATTGTACATCATATATGCACAATACTTTTTAAAGTTTTTTACCAAAATCAAAGTAAAGCATGTAGAGATGATGAATAATTTTAAAGCAGTTTAAGAGTTTAAAGTTATTATTACAAGTATGTGATTTATTGAGATAAGCACTTTATTATTATTTATTGTATTTAAATGCCTAGGTTTTATAAAAACTATAATCAGTGTCTATTTGAAACTGACAGCTATTGATAATGTTCTTTACTTGAAATTTCACTGTCACTACCTTTAAAAATATTTAATATTGCAAGTTTACTGAGATAAAAACATTATTATTATTTATAGTATTTAAATGTCTCAGTTTCATAAAACTGACCGCTATTGATAATGTTCTTTACTTGAAATTTTGCTGCATCAGTAATCTTCATTCTAAGATGATGTGTGATATATAAGTTTTCTTCTGAGCTTCATGTTGGAAACAGACATAGCTTGAAACTATTTTTGTGACATTAATTTCTTTGAAGCTGCAATCTATTCATTTATCTGAGATATGGTGTACTTTCTTAGCCTCTCATTTGGCACTGTCTCTGTAGCATAGTATCTCCCAGAGTAAAAACATTACAGATGAGCCTTACAATGTAGGTTGATGGACACATTAAATGGTTTCAATATTCAGAGTACTCCCAGAGTAAAAACATTACAGATGAGCCTTACAATGTAGGTTGATGGACACATTAAATGGTTTCAATATTCAAGACATTCTTTCAGTCAGATAACCATAGGAGCTCTCTCAGTAGCCAATTTAAAAATACACCTGGACATTGAAACCATGCTGCCTTAATTTCTGTTAGCAGTAACTTTATGGTACATTTTACTTCAGCTATTCATATTACAATTGCTTTTCAACTTGTCTGATTGACTGTAGTGTCATTTGGCTTATCAAAGTAGATTAAAGTTTTTTGTAATACATCATGTTGTCCTCAAGTCACAATTATGCATCTTTCTTAAGCTGAGGGCATTTGAAATTCGAGCAGTTCTTAAGAAAGTAGCCATGGCTTTGATGTTCGATACAGAATTCTGAGTGCTTGTCAAGCCATGAAATGTACTCGCCAGTCATAACTTCCCTTAAACTCAGTCTTGGGAATTTTCATAGTTTAAATTATCCTCTGGGCTTTAAATTAAATCATTTCAACAGACAAAGTAAATCTATTTGCCAGAATTTCATGATAAATGTAATCAAATTTGCTTTCAGTTTATATTTTGTCTAAATTTTATTCTGCTACCTTTCCAAGGTACAGTTATTGATCATTAATTTTTTTCCTCATGAAGCATATGCTTCATTTGAATCTATTATCACACATATGCAACAAACTTCCTTCATATTACTGTATTTATTAGTCCAAAGGGATTTGAATCCTGAAGGACTATTAGTTTCGTTTTGGCATTTTGCGTCGGACTCATAAATGTCAGTTCACTTTTCAAACTGTTGCCACAAAATGTTAGAGTCCTGCATTATATTTGAAGAAATTAAATAATGAAAAATCTGCATAAATGTATGTATATTTCTCGTATGTGATAAAAAACGGTACATAGAGTCATCGAATTTTGAAATAACGTAATCCTCCAATGAATATGAGCATGTGGAAGACCAAATTTGAATTTGAAATTGTTTTATGATCGATTTCCTATTTTTAAAACTTACGAATTTTTGATTAACAAACTCAAGGATTTCAAAGCGAGCATGGCAGCGTTGTGCAGAAAAAACATTTTTATCTCCAGCGCGTGAGTATCTGTATCGGAAATTCTAAAGATAATCTCGTTTAAAACTATTTTGCGATATTGTGTTGCACTGGATCTTATGGTTTAAGTGCGAGTAAATGATATTTAATAAAGAAAGGTAACACACAAAATGTTAAAAAACGCCCCTTTGGACGTAATTTAAAATCTGAAACATTTCAGATTTTGTTTTTTTGTTTTTTTTTACTTGGTACATTACTTGTAACTTTGTTGCATAACTTTCTCTCTCCTTGGTCTGTTGTGTCTATGTGTAACATTGCACTGAGGCAGGCACTAAATAGTGAGCTTTAATTATCACTTCATTCTGTTGTATGAAATTTGCCATACTGCTACATTTACTCATTTGCCAATGGAGTTCTAAGACTTATTTTTGCAAATCTGGTTATATGTAAGAAACAAAATGCAGCTATTACATGTCTGTAGCTTATAATTCCACATATATGTCTGTTTGGAAACTAACTTCTTTAGCCAGTACTTTTATTTTCAGTATTTTTACTAACATAATTAGCGTACTTTATAAGTCACTATGTTTTATGTTTGGATGCTGTTTTAAATAGCTGGATCAGTGATTTTTTTTAATTCAATGTCAATTTTTAGCTTCTCAATTTTATTTTGAAACATCAGAAAAGTAATATTTATTGTGAATGGTATGTTATAAATTGCTGTTTTAGAATGAACAGTTTTTGTACGTTTGTTATTTTTTAAAAGTTTTATAAGTATTTCTTTAATGGTTCTAATATATGTTTCCTGTACATAGCTTGCTTATTTGCATATTTCCCTTCATTGCATATTTTCTTGCTTTTTATTTTTGTGTATATCATTTAGAAACTTTTATTTATGGTAGCAGATATGAGCAGATAATAAAAGTGTATTACATAAGTAAAGAGAATGGTATTAAAAACAGTACTTTTCTGTTAACAAAGGTGCAAACATTGACACTAAATAGATGGTGGCAATCCTAGTGATATATAAAACTGTTATGAATGGAATTACTATTATATATATAGTATGTATAATGTTTAACAAGCATGATGCCGAGTTTCTGAAATTATCTTGTTTTTTAAAGGAAAGCATATCACTATGTACATAGAGAAAACAACTATTGTTCTTCCCATGAACAATGATTTATTTTCACATAAAAAATTCCTAAGAGAATTTCCCAGATTGGTCATTCTCCACATTGAATATATATATATTACATAAATAGCTATGCAATAATTAATTTAGCTAGTCATGATGTGTTACCTCATTTGGTACTTTGAGACACATTTGTGATGGGCACCCTGTTAACAGAAAAGTACCAAAATAGTAATTGTAACTGAAATATAGAATGCCTTTAATATTAGTATATCTGTCCCAGTTGGTTTTTTATCCACTAAGTTTTTCCTGTAACCTGTGGTAGGGTGCCAATCTCTGTTGTCCATATCACATTAAATATTCTCACTGGATTCATCATGAGCTTTAATCAGACATAATACACAATAAATATTTATTTTCTGACTTCGAATTCGTGCCCTACTCCTTGACAGCCGGTCTCTGTCTGCACATCTCCAAAAACTTTTCCTTTGGTTATCCATATTTATCAACAGCAAATATGGACACAAGGCATGCTCCTTATCACTATCACCACAGTATTCCTTATCGATTCCTTTGATGGTAATAAAGAATAGAGTCAAATTACCAAATATTTCAAAGAATTCCCCCCAGCCCTTAATAACAAAATTAGGATATAAAATTAGTGGAGATCAAAATCAGATTCAACATATGACAAGGTTATAATGCATATATATATAAATGAAATAACAATAAATATATTTCAAAACATTTTTAAATTGTAATGTAAGGAACAAGTTTCTTTGAGAAGTGAATGTGTTCTTGATCTTGTGACAATCTGTGTCTAGAGAGTTCAATAGCAGATTTATTCTGTTGAATTGTCTTTAAGTCTGTTTGATTTCAGTTCAGGCAAATCAGAGTTCGAAAGCAAATAGGCTGGTTTTACGCAGTCTATACACCCAGTAGATTTATGGCCATTTATTTCAATTGTGAAAGTTTTGTCTTTTCTGGTTAGGACTTTGTGTGGATCTGAGTATTGCTGGCACAGTGGTGTCTTTTCTCAGTTGATACGTAAGTATACATATGTACACAATTTTAGAGTAGAACTTGTGTAATACTTATCTTGACAATGTGCAGATGTCACTTTGTGAAGATTCGGCTGAGCCATTTGAGCCAGCTTATGCCTGTTGGATTAACCCTAATTCAACTGTCCCAACTAATCATCCTGTCATCCATACATATGTTAACTTACTATTTAAAATAACTGCATTACGATATAGAGATAAAAAAGTTATTATGCCTGTTTAGAATGAGATCTAAATCCAGAGTCGTAGCTAGGGTTTTCAGCGCCCAGAGACAACTGAAGATTTCGTGCCCCCTACTGCTTGCCAAGGATGGAAAACATTTAATTCTAAAATGTCGTAACATCAGTTTGGCGCCCCTTGGATTTTGCGACAGGGGACAGATGCCCCCCTCTAGCTATGCCCCTGTCTAAATCGAATTTTGTACGAAGTGTGATGCAATCTGTGCATTAAATTGTTTCGTAAAAGTGAAGCAGTTGAAATTTTAATTTTTTATAGTTTAGAGAAGGATGAAGAAGATGGATTTGTAGTCATGTTTATATTGTATGTATATTTCGTTATGCAAAATATAATAATTAATTTTAATTATGTTTTTTATTTTGCTCTGTATTATGAATCTGAGTACTGGCATAAGCTGAACTGCAAAAACGACTGGGAAAATATTATTACACTTCATTTTAAATACCTGTTGTTGTTCACAGTTAGAGTACCCAGCTGATAAAATTGTTAATACACGTAATAAAGGATCTATATTTTGAAAACTATTATGTTACCTAAAAACAAATATAACTGCATTCAGTGTTTTTTATTATTTTATTCTATTTTGTTAAATATTAAATTCATTTCATACTTTTTTTACTAGGCAGAAAAAAATGTGAAAAGGATGTTCAGAATTTTCAAACTGAAAAACTCACAAGTGGAGGAGTTGCGAAAGGAACAGAAGTTGCACAGCATTATTCTTCAAAGGAATTGACAAAATTTTCTAAATTTGCTAAGAGACCTGGTTATGGCACTCTTGGAAGAGATATCAGTTTAGTCACAAACTTTTTTGCTTTGCGAAGCAAAGCTCAATATATCTATCATTATGATATTGAAGTAAATTCACTTGATCAAATTAAAAAGTATGGCCGCCATATGAAAGGGAAAGAACTTACTGCTGCTGAAGCTGCAATTTCTGGGATCTCTCGATTAGAACTTCAGCAGAGCAGAAGTATAGGAAAGATAAAGCGCAAAGAAGTTTTTGATGAGCTTGTAAAATCCATGAATCTAAGCAAATACAGTCCTGTATATGATGGTGTAAAAAATATTTTTACTTCACATCCTTTCCCATTTGATACACAAAGGACAACAGTTGTTGGATTAAGAGTGGAGGGCAAAACTCGTCAGTATGAAGTAATTGTGAAACCTGTAAAGAAATTAAATGGATCCAATATTATTGATGTTACATCTCTGAAAAAATTATATGAAGGGCATTCTGAAAGTGTGGAAGAAGTTCTAATGGCATTCAATGCTATAATGAACCACCGAGAGCCTCAAAGTACGCAGATTCAAGTGGGTCGCTCTTTTTTCTTCCTGACTCAGATAGATAAAGTTGCTTTAGGAGAAGGAACTGAAATTTGGATGGGATATAATCAAAGTGTTCATCTTACAGAAAAAGGACCAGCTTTAGTTCTAAATCTTGCAGCAAAAGCATTTCATAAGGCTGGACCTGTTATTGAGTATATTAATGAAGTACTAAAGCGTGATATTACACATGGAGATGCCATGAAACCTTATGAAATAAAGAAAGCAGAAAGTGCCTTAAAGGGGGTACGTGTAACTGTAACTCATTTGTCATATCCCAGGAAATATCATATTCAGGGCATTTCTAAAGTAAGTGCCCAAGAATTGCAGCTTTCAGTTGATGGTGCAAAAATGTCTATTGCTAGCTATTTCCAAACCAAATATGGAAAATTAAGATATCCATTTTTACCTTGCTTATACATGAGATCTACTAACAATCAAACTTATATTCCTTTTGAGAACTGTGAAGTTGTAGAAGGACAGCCAAAATTAGGCAAGCTCAGTGCTAGTCTTAATTCAAAAATGATTAAACAGGCAGCAGTAGCACCAGAGGCTCGTTTCAAAGCTATTGAAAAAGATGCTTATACTGTGAATGAACAAAGTGGTAAACAAATGCAACATTTCAATTTGTCAATGGACTTTCGGCCAATGCGTGTTCAAGGCAGAGTATTAGATCCTCCCTCTTTAGCATACTTCAATAAAGATACGTCACTCCCTGATGAAAAAGGCACATGGCGAATGGAAGGAAAACAATTCTTTAAGTCTTCGCTTGAGAAAAAGAAAGATCTTAAACCATGGATAATACTAAGTTTTGCAGATTGCCCTTTTAAAGAATTGGAACGTTTTGCTAATACATTTTTTAGAGTAGGAGAAAAAGTAGGTCTGCATTTTGGTGAGCTTCTAGATATCAGAATGTTTAATAGGCGGGATACAGTTGAAAAAGCCCTTAAAGATGCTGAAAAAACTCAAGCTTCTTTTGCTGTTATTATTCTCTCAAAATATGATTATTTTCATAATTATGATGAAATAAAATTCATCGCTGATTATAAACTAGGATTTGTTACCCAATGTATGGATTCTGGTGTTGTTCCTAGGTTTAATGACCAAATTGCAACTAATGTCTGTCTGAAAATTAATGCTAAACTTGGTGGTGTTAACCACATATTATTCAAAAGACCTGAAATTTTTTTGAAACCTGTAATAGTATTTGGAGCTGATGTTGTCCATTCTCCACGTGGTTCTGGGTGTCCTTCAATTGCAGCTGTTGTTGGAAGTTTAGATGCATACCCATCTACATATAAACTTGCATGCAGAGTTCAAGATAATCCAGAAGGCAATAAGATTTCACAAGAATTAATTTTAGAGGTGAGAGAGATGGTAGCAGGTATTTTGAAAACATTCTTCCATCATACTAGAGGGAAATATCCAGAAAAAATTATTTTTTTTCGAGATGGTGTTAGTGAAGGACAGTTTGAAGCAGTGCGTGATCATGAAGTTTGTGAAGTTGAGAGAGCATGTAAAGATGTAATTGGATACATTGTTCCTATAACATATATAATTGTTCAAAAACGACATCAGAAAAGACTGAAACCAGCAAACCCACGCGATGGCATTTCAAAGGGAAGAAATGTTCCTGCAGGTACTACAGTGGACAGAGATATTACTCATCCATATTTGTTTGATTTTTACTTAAATAGTCATGAAGGCATCCAAGGTACAAGTAAACCAGCCCATTATACTGTGTTGTATGATGCTAATAATTTTAGTGCAGATGCTCTGCAGACATTAGCTTATCATCTGTGTTATATGTACGTGAGGTGTAATCGAAGTGTATCAATTCCAGCTCCGGTGAGGTATGCTGATCTTGCTGCATATCGAGCCAAAAAATATGCAGATTTTCATATTCAGAAAGAGCGTGAGAGCAGTTCGTCATCTAACGGCTCCATTTCCAAATTACCAGATTATGCTCGGGAAGCAATTAATAGTATGGGAAGTTATAAAAGAAATATGTTCTATGTTTGATTTAAATATTTGTGTTTTGTATTAATATTTACAAAATATTCAAGATTTGAAGTGAGAGATATTCATTTCTGTATATTTCTATTATATGTGATCTTCTTAATTATGTAAAATGATGGTTAGATGTCTTTCAACAACTGCTGGTAAGTGAGTAAATTGCTTGTTGTCTTACTACTATTAGTAAAAAGAAAATCTATGCAGATTTCAAATAAAGAATATCTGAACAAAGTATCTAGTTATATTGATTATTAATTTATTAAAGTATCTAGTCATAAAAAAGTAAAATTTATGGAAATTTGATAAACATTGCATATTTTAATAGATATGTTTTATATTATTTATTAAAATATTACTGATATCACAAAGAATTGGAAATATTTTATCTACAGATAAATTTTTCATTTATATTTTTCTGTAGCTGACAAGTAATTTTGAAACATGTTTTGAATGTAAAGTGTATACAAATAGTAAATTGATGCTGAATACCTGATGAAATACATAACCTGCAATGGATTTTATCTCCCCACTCTGTATATTTGTGCAAATTTTTTTTTTTTTTTTTTTGTAAGATAAATGTTTTTACCGTGTAGCTTGCTGTAGATATTTATAGTACTATATCAAATTTCTTATGTACAAGAGCTTAAAATATTGCATATTTTAACTATGCTATGTAATTTTTTGTGGAAGTCTGATTGAACCCTTTTAAAAACTTTTTCATGAATTTCAAACTACATATAAAGGCTACTTAAGCAATATGACTTACTGTTTTCTCCGAATAACCAAAAATTATACTTAGTTTTAGTATAGGTGCTCTCATGTATTTACTTAAATTTATGTTCTTTACTTTTTTAACATATTTATTAAAATTTATGAATTAAAAGTGAGATTCTGACTGGTACATATAAACATTTCATATATGATTCTAAGCTATTTGCATATTGTTTAACATGACAAGTCAAATATAATTTATGATTTGCTGTGTATAATTGATATTGTTTTTAGATTTGATATAATAACAAATTCTGAGCTGAGGATTATATAAGCATTTTTGTTTGATAAAGTTAGGTTCGATGAATTTTCATTTTGTGAAGCAACAAAAATATCCATTAATGTATAAAAACTTTTTAAAATGTGTCATATTCTATAATTGAGAAATATGATGTTTAAAGTCTGTTCTGTACATTTAATATTATTTAAACTTATTACTTATCATATTAATATGAACAAAATTATGATTCAGTAATAAAAGCAAGTAGCAGTATGGATTTTAAATGTTGCAAAGTATTTAGTAAGGTCAGTAATTTTATTACATGAATTTTTAATATTTCTTATTTTTATATTTGTTAAAAATCATTCAGTATAACACATTGTATGGCTATACCATGTCTATCTTGTAGATCTGAAGTTTAGTCTTAATTGAGATTCTATTTTACATCTATACAATCTTAAAAAAAAGTAACAATTATTGATATAAAAAATATGAGGCAAAGTTTAGACAAATAAGTGGCTGGTCAGATTAAAAATCTTATGGTTCACTTTTATTGTTAAAAATAGCTGTAACTTGTATTTTGCACCATCCTTAACATTGTATAAAGTTCGTATATAGAAGTTGCTTTGTTTTATACATTTATTAATTATATATAATATAATAAATATTTTTCATTGTATCAGTAAGCAGTTTTTCATTTCTCAGACATCTTCTTTTCTGCAATTTGGATCAGAATATTCACATGTGAAAATAAACATATCAAATGAAAAAGTTTGGGCAGGTGAATTCCTAATTTCAAAAATCTGCTATTGTTAGAGATGTGTGCAGGATAAGGTTGAGCAGCATCAGACATCGTCCCAAGCAAAACCACTAGCTATTAAAAAAAATAATTGCATCATGCACCTACTAAGCAGCAATAGAAATCCTTTCTGTTAACATTTTTGTTCATTCAAAATAATTTGCCATATTTAATCTTGAAGATCCACTCCACCCATTGCTTGACAAGCTCTCAAGACTGAATTTTCACTTGCATGGTTTAGTTGAAAAAGAACAAAGAACTAAATAGTTTTCTACCTAAGAGAAGAAATGGAGAAGTTTCTTACTGGTGTATTCTTACCAGAGCTGTGGAGTTGGGCAAATTTTGGGGTAAAAGGAGCCTGAGCTGGAGTCTCTAAAAACAGGTCGACTCCAGTTTTCGATGGACAGTTTGAATTTAAAATGAATTGAAAAAATTAATGAGAAGCTGAGTTATTTTTATTTATGGACTGTATACATTAATAAAGTTATTTTCTATTTTATTGAAATAAATTATTTCCTATTAATAAATAAATATAAGGGAGGATGGATGTGATATTTGCCATTAATGATTAAACTGATTCATTTAGTTACAAATCTCGCTGATAAATTTAGGTAAGTAGCAAGAACTCCTAAAATTGATACCATTCTTAGAAAGCAAGCAGGAAAAGGAGCAGTTATTGATCAAGTAGTGCGATATGGAAGTACATATTTGATGATAAATAAGTTTTTAGAATTAAGAACTTTTTTAGGATACGTAGATAACCCTAATGTTTCACTAACAGAAAGGTTGGAATGATCTTGCAGAATTGGAAACTCTTCTTTCTATACCGTATATAGCCACAAAAAGGCTGCAATCTGAAGAATTGACAGGAGGCGAGAATGGAAGGAAGAAAGTGAAGTTTGTTCTTTCTGAAATGGAGGGTTTATTGCAGAAGGAATCATTTCTTCAATGAAGAAAAAGAAACTAGTTTGCTAGACAAGAGATCTTGCTGGGTTCAATATATGGAGATCCGAAACACTGAATTTTCTTTGATGAAGAACAAATTAAAAAGACAAAATAAAAGTCATCTATGAACTTCCATTAAGAATGAAATTATTCTCAGAACAATTGAAGAATTCGAATCAGGACAGTCAAACTGCAGACATTGCAATTGAGCCTCTATCTTCCAAAGATTAATTAGATTCTGGGAAATATTTTTCGATAATATTGAAAAGAAATAGAGAAATATGATTGCACTTGCAAGACACCTCTTTAAGAACTTAAAATATATCCTGAAAAATTAAAAGTAGCCCTAACAGTAACAGCCCTTCCTCCTATTCAAGTTAGTGTGGAAAGACTCTTCTCAGACTGAAGTTTATCAAATTGGATCTATGGCTATATTAAAAAAAAATACACTGTAACCCATTTGTATATGTTTACATATATATATGAGGAAGTCTGAGTCTTTTTCCCTACCGACTCCAAAGCCCTAATTCTTACTGGTGTACATTAATTCACTGGCACTCTTGACATTTGTTATCCACATTTTCTCATAGTTTACACAACAGGATTCCTTACTTCCAAAGTCCAATAGTCACTAATACAACACAGTCACTGTAGAGTAGATCACCATTCTAGTTATTTTGATATTTAAAGACTTAAATATACACATTGTGTTTAACAGGGTTCGTACACATTTCTGCACATGAAAATTAAGTACTTTTAATGACCTTTAATGAGCAAATAACAAATTAATAAATTCAATTAAAAGTATTATCTCTAGAAACTTCACTTTTGTAATACCATCCAAAAAAATAAAATAGATATGTAATTAGGATGCATTATTATTATTAAACATCACTTAATTAACAATTATTAATAAGTTTGAGAATTAAAATATACTTTAATTATTTATACACTTATATAGTTCAGCATATTTGAGAGAAGATAAGTGACATTTTATTTACGTTTTACTAATAGTTTCTTTTTTTTATTTATTTTTTAGTCTCATTTTGTCACATACTTGCTCAAAATAGCAGGTAGATTTTATGTCAAGCGGCATAGTTAAAATGAAAATCTTAATCAGAATGATTTATGACTGGTTGTTGTCACCGCTGCTCCTTGGCCTAGAGAGAGAAACCTGATGATCAGAAAACTAAAAGGCCTGATGTGGACACGGTAGGCAAGTTTTGAAAGTTAGTTGGGCTCTGTCTGATGCAGTTAGTGTCATAGCTTCGTGTAGAGTTCCAAAGGGTTGTAACTAGCGTTGCCACCTCTTGACTGTGAAAATCTGGGAGAAGAAAAATGTTTCTTTGGCAGTCGCAACTGAAAAAAAATTGGCCTCCTGAATCTCATTTACAAAGTATTTCTTGAGCTGCAGGAAGCAAGCACACTCTCGCAAATACTTGCACATTTCGTTCCACCACAAGAAATCATTTTGTCAAGAAGAATCTAGAAATAGAGTGTTATAACAATTTGTTTGTGCAATCCTGGCTATTATAAGTGTTATGATAGTGCTTAATTCCATGATAGACTGAAGTAATTTCAATTGCTGGATATATTGTCCTTTTCTTTTGAAGATTTCCTTATGGAAAAGTTCGAAACCGATTGCAAAAAACCGCTATTCAATATTAACGATTGGCGTTTCTTGCTTTGGTAATGTACAGTTAGGTTAGAGTTGTAACTCTAACACCCTCGTACTTAATACACTACTCGACATTGAAAATGCAATGCCAAGAAGGAGTAGTCAGAAAGTGATGAAATTTGGAAAAAAGTCAGAGACAGCAAACAGCAATAAGTGATCATCTTTATTTCAAAATGATAGTCAGAATTACAAATCTCGCTGATAAATTTAGGTAAGTAGCAAGAACTCCTAAAATTGATACCATTCTTAGAAAGCAAGCAGGAAAAGGAGCGGTTATTGATCAAGTAGTGCGATATGGAAGTACATATTTGATGATAAATAAGTTTTTAGAATTAAGAACTTTTTTAGGATATGTAGATAACCCTAATGTTTCACTAACAGAAAGGTTGGAATGATCTTGCAGAATTGGAAACTCTTCTTTCTATACCGTATATAGCCACAAAAAGGCTGCAATCTGAAGAATTGACAGGAGGCGAGAATGGAAGAAAGTGAAGTTTGTTCTTTCTGAAATGGAGGGTTTATTGCAGAAGGAATCATTTCTTCAATGAAGAAAAGAGAAACTAGTTTGCTAGACAAGAGATCTTGCTGGGTTCAATATATGGAGATCCGAAACACTGAATTTTCTTTGATGAAGAACAAATTAAAAAGACAAATAAAGTCATCTATGAACTTCCATTAAGAATGAAATTATTCTCAGAACAGTCAAACTGCAGACATTGCAATTGAGACTCTATCTTCCAAAGATTAATTAGATTCTGGGAAATATTTTTCGATAATATTGAAAAGAAATAGAGAAATATGATTGCACTTGCAAGACACCTCTTTAAGAACTTAAAATATATCCTGAAAAATTAAAAGTAGCCCTAACAGTAACAGCCCTTCCTCCTATTCAAGTTAGTGTGGAAAGACTCTTCTCAGACTGAAGTTTATCAAATTGGATCTATGGCTATATTAAAAAAAAAATACACTGTAACCCATTTGTATATGTTTACATATATATATGAGGAAGTCTGAGTCTTTTTCCCTACCGACTCCAAAGCCCTAATTCTTACTGGTGTACATTAATTCACTGGCACTCTTGACATTTGTTATCGACATTTTCTCATAGTTTACACAACAGGATTCCTTACTTCCAAAGTCCAATAGTCACTAATACAACACAGTCACTGTAGAGTAGATCACCATTCTAGTTATTTTGATATTTAAAGACTTAAATATACACATTGTGTTTAACAGGGTTCGTACACATTTCTGCACATGAAAATTAAGTACTTTTAATGACCTTTAATGAGCAAATAACAAATTAATAAATTCAATTAAAAGTATTATCTCTAGAACTTCACTTTTGTAATACCATCCAAAAAAATAAAATAGATATGTAATTAGGATGCATTATTATTATTAAACATCACTTAATTAACAATTATTAATAAGTTGAGAATTAAAATATACTTTAATTATTATACACTTATATAGTTCAGCATATTTGAGAGAAGATAAGTGACATTTTATTTACGATTTACTAATAGTTTCTTTTTTTTTATTTATTTATTTATTTTTTTTTTAGTCTCATTTTGTCACATACTTGCTCAAAATAGCAGGTAGATTTTATGTCAAGCGGCATAGTTAAAATCAAAATTAAAATCTTAATCAGAATGATTTATGACTGGTTGTTGTCACCGCTGCTCCTTGGCCTAGAGAGAGAAACCTGATGATCAGAAAACTAAAAGGCCTGATGTGGACACGGTAGGCAAGTTTTGAAAGTTAGTTGGGCTCTGTCTGATGCAGTTAGTGTCATAGCATCGTGTAGTTTCAAAGGTTGTAACTAGCGTTGCCACCTCTTGACTGTGAAAATCTGGGAGAAGAAAAAAATGTTTCTTTGGCAGTCGCAACTGAAAAAAAATTGGCCTCCTGAATCTCATTTAAAAGTATTTCTTGAGCTGCAGGAGCAAGCACAATTCTCGCAAATACTTGTACATTTTGTTCCACCACAAGAAATCATTTTGTCCAAAGAAGAATCTAGAAATAGAGTGCTTATAACAATTTGTTTGTGCAATCCTCGCTGTTAAAAGTGTGATGGTGCTTAATCCTATGATAGACTGAAGTAATTTCAATTGCTGGATATATTGTCCTTGTTCTTTTGAAGATTTCTTCATGGAAAAAGTTCGAAACCGATTGCGAAGAATCCCTATTCAATATTAACGATTGGCGTTTCTTGCTTTGGGAATGTACAGTTAGGTTAAGTTGTAACTCTAACACC